TTCCAAAGAAATTTTGTATGGATTTTTATCTCAGTTGAGTTTAAGGATCCATACCAAGATATTATATGAGTTCAATTAGCTGGACTAGAGGGTATAACTACCTAGACTAAAGGTAATTTATGGATTTAATTACCTGGACCAAAGGTCATTTATGGGTTTAATTACCTGCATACTGCATACGAGGTGTATGCATAGGTACCTTACCTATTGTTAAGGTATGAAGTTTTTATGAATTCTTATTACAAATTTTGATGTCGGTATACCTTGGGAAAATTTCAGAATTCAATAAATAGATTTGCAATTAAATTCAAATCAAATATGATAATTAATATCCTACAAATCCTACAAATCAATAACTTACCAGTTTTAGGAATTCATAATTTACCTTATTTATGTTTTAGGTGCATAAGTGGAACAAAAAATAAAAAATAAAAAAAAGTAAATATCAACAAATTGAAATAGGCATGTAATCTTATGTGGCGCAAAAGTCAAAGGACTTGGATCAACAACAATTTTTGCATGGATTGCACCCAAAATCTCTCCTCATAATTGGACTTATGCCAAATTTTCTATAAATAAAAATAGAAAATAGAAAATTACAAACTAAAAGTTTCTGTTTATACACCACCTTATTTTACTTATTCTGACCACCGACATTGGGCATGCGCCGGCCCTTGTACATGATCTTACAACTTCGAGACTTGGGTTTTAAACTTGAATGAGGAGTTTCCCTGGATAGACAAAATATGATTTCCTTATCTAGAAGAAAAAAGGTTGAAAATCACATAGAAATAATATTGTACACATTCCCGTTCACTTGCACTAGATGGAGCGGGTGACGACAAATTCCCCGCCCCATGACGAGCAGGTGAACATGACTGATAATGTATGTCGAGAAAAGGGCCACGTACGGTCTGTAAGTTGAGAGAAGGTTGGGTTTTTTTATTGGTCAATGAGAGAAGGTTGCGATGGCAAGAGGGCCCAAAGTGATACTTGATGGAGCAAAATTTCATTATATGTGTATTTATGTCCCATTATGTGGAATATATTAATAGAAAGGATTAACTACACTTTAGTCCCTGCAGGTTTAGTGCCAGTATCGAAATGGGCCCTAAGATTTCATTTAAGTCAATATCTTACCCAACATTTCGAATCCTAACCAATTGACACCCACCGTTACATTGACCGTCAAAGTCAGACGTTAAATGTTGACGTGGCAGGCGTGGGACCCACCTCATACCCAAATAGCAGTTAGACAGAGACGACACGAAGGGCAATTTCGACAAAAAAAAAAGACCAACCTTCGCCTTCTCTCTCCATGGCACGCGTTCTAAGGCGATGCCTCGATTACCCAGACTTGGAAAAATCAAAGAAATCAAAAACTGAGTTTTGTTCATGTATTGAGACAGACATAGAGGAGAGACGAGGGTTTGTTCGTGTTTTGGAGAGCAAATATTTGAAATAGACTGCAAAAAGAGAGGAAAAAAGTTGAGAGGAAACTGACGAAGAAGATTCGATTGGCTGGCCGGAATGGATGAAGAGGTGCCGATGTGTTGGTGCGGAAAGGCTGCTACAATTCGAACGTCGTGGACAGATTCGAATCCTGGGAGGCGATTTTCCATGTGTGCAGCAAAGGTACGTGAGACTAACGAGGGTTTGAAGGGTTGTCAATTCTGGGCATGGTTTGATCCGGCCATGTGTGAACGGTCAAAGGTAGTGATTCCTTGGCTTCTAAAATCGAGGAATAGGCTGGAGAAATCAGTGGCAAAGGCAAGACAAAGAGAAAAGGTTGTTTGGGTGTTGTTGGTGGCTTCGTGGGTTCTATTTGCAAGCATCATTTTGGGAGGGATGTGTGGATGTGGAGTGAACAAAAAGAGGAGCTTGGAATTAGCTTCTGCCATTGAATGAATTGTTTGTGGGTTATGTTTGTGATTCCGTGATTCTGTAAGTTTGTAAGTCTTGGGTTGTTAGTAGCATTTTGTAATGGTTTAATTGTTATGTACGTGTTTAGGGTTTTAAGGTTAAGGGTTATGGGGTTTAGCTTAAGGGCTTAATCACAAACTGCCATGTAACTTGAGGAAGTGCATGGAATGACAAATTTTGTACAGAATTACATTTAAAAGAAGTGAATGGCCATCATAAAGAGTATGCAAATGAAGTGATTGGCCATCTAAATTAAATCTGTGTGGTAGTGAAATAAAGCAAAGGAATGCCAAAAATGTAAAGAGAAGTTAGAATGAACCTTATAGCCAGATATGGCAAAAACAATGTAGCAGAGAAGT